ACATGCTATCAAAGGACATGACAACCACCAAGCAGCTTATAGCTTAGTGGTGTAAGGTGTTGCTCGCCTTTTTTCGAATTTCAGTTTGAATTCTAGTGGCAGTGGGGCTAGCGAGTGGTTTTCTTCCTATTTCTGCTGGCTCCTCTCTGTGTGGTACGCCTTATAAGATTAATAGCTTCATTCGTTGAGATAATTTGTTGATCAATCTTTAAATTTCTAATTGAGTCTATCTTTAAATTCCTGATTGAGTCAATTTTATGCTTAAATATATGTTAAACTTTCAATCAACAAAATAAAAATATGAAATTACAAAGGAAAAAACTAATAAAATTTAAAAATAATAAAAACAAACATAATCGGAATCCTGGTGTAAGATTTTGAAAATCTAAGGATCTAACGGTCGGAGTAATAATTCCTAAAAGATATAACCCTTTTGAGTTGTTATTTTAGTTTAGCGCAGCCACACCTTCTCTTGAATCTAAACTTATCTTAATAGTTCATAAATATCTTAATCTTTATCATATATTATAATTAGTTTTTTATATTAATTAACATTTGACTATGTTTATAAAATAATTTCTTAATATAAATTCATATGGAAGCTTTATTAATCATGATGAAATAAAAAATAAGATTAATAGCTTCATTCGTTGAGATAATTTGTTGATCAATCTTTAAATTTCTAATTGAGTCTATCTTTAAATTCCTGATTGAGTCAATTTTATGCTTAAATATATGTTAAACTTTCAATCTATTATTGCAGTAAGATTTTTAAGTCAAACCACACGAATTAAATCATATATGAATATTTTGCAGTAAGATTTTTAAGTCAAATCACACGAATTAAATCATATATGAATATTTTTTTATTCCTAAAATATTACATAACTAATTATGGTGATTTAGACTAAAAAGTTTGACAAAATAATATACTAAAAGGTAAAAACTAACATATATTTAAGGATGCAAGGATAGATTAGAGAACTGCGTACAATCAGATTGAGCTATTACCTTGAAAACTAATCATGTTGTTAATCTGTACGGCGTTAGTGATAAATTTATTGGTTATAATGACTTGTTATCAATTTCAACTCTAATTATTCTCAAAGAATTCCACTATAATTAATCAGGAATCAACGAGGAACTCAGGTCTTAAAACACTTCCAGAGTATGGAGTGATATTTTTATTGGCTTCAAAAAAATCAAATTGCTCCGTTCGTGTATAGAGAAAACCTTTGTTTAATAGTCCTTGTCTAAGATTTGTTAGCAATTATATATGCTCTTTTGATTATGATACTACTTAATTATCTGGTTAATGCACCCAGCAAGAAACGCTGGGTTGTGTAACCAAAGATATGCGAGCATATGGAATCTGATTTTCCCTCAAAAGCAGGAAGATATAGCTAGTTTGTGTGTATGATTTAGAAAAAATATATGGTTTAATAATTATAAATTGCAGAAAGTGGGTGTTCCTTTTAAAGCAAAGCTCCTCGCTTTTTTCAATCCTTGTGGCTAGAATTTAACCTTCTTTACCAGGCTAACTTTTATCTATTCAACTTTTTGTACATTAACCTTTTTCACATAGGATACGTTATTATAACGTAAATGGAAAAGGTGGGTGCATTAATTTGTAGCCAATGAGCAATATATAATGGGTGGAAAGGTGACATAGAATAGAATTAGGAAGTATACTAATTTATAGTTCAATTCGTTTTCATTTGATTGAACTTTGAATCATCATCATTCAAAAGTTATATGTTACAAGTAACTTAAAATAAAAATGGATTTAAGTTCATAAACACTGTGTTTGATAATAATTATTTAAAGTGATTTTCTTGGAAAAACAACGTAATTTAAATTATAATTTATAAGTTAGAAGTTAGAATTTTTAATTCTTTAAATAAAAGATTTAACTCGATTTTGTAACAAACTATTGACATAAGTTAAAAATTATTTCTATCCAAATATATTTATGATTATTTTAATAAATAATTAAAAATAACTTAAATTTATTTATAAGATTCATACCAGATATAACCTTAATTTGATTTGATTATTGCATGTGGTTATGAAACATATACGTGGCACTTTCCATTCATCCCTTCAGTTTCAGCATGTTCCACGAAGACTCTGTCTTCTTTATCGACAAGAAAAGAAAATCCCACGATCGATTCTACAATGTGTGTGCGTGTGTGTGTGTGTCTCAATTAAGGCCACGATTATAGGATGTGGGTTTCACGCTGCTAACAACAGTGTTGAGAAACACATCAGCAAGTCCCCAGATAAGCTTGCAATCAAGAAATCAATACAACAACTGCTAGATTAATTACATTATCACAAGCCATATATCATCATCATCATCATCATACCATCATCAAAAAAGAGGTGAGAGCGCAGGTCCAGTAGGAGAGGTCTCCACGTACAGGTTTCCATTTTCATTACGATTAACCTTCCTCTCAATTAAAAGAGAGAGCTTCCCCATCATTTACCGCTCAGTGATGGTGCTCC